ATAGTCCTCAAAATGTTGACAGGGCTAGGTGTCCAAAAGGCTCAACAGGACCAGGCAGGTTGGCTGGAAACTCTAGCCACAAGCCACCTATGTGTGAATGCACCACCATTAGACTTCTCACAGCACACAGCTGGGCTGCATAAGGTAAGCTCCAAAACCAGGCTGCAAAACTTGTGACCTGGTCTCACCAACCCCAGAACATTCCTTCAGTTACACCTTAGACTCCCAGGGGGAGGTGCTCCTCTCCTCTGGATGTGAGGAGTAAGCACATACAGGGAGGGAGACTGGCTGTAGGGTCCTTGCGCTCCCAGTTTGACTGGAGCCTTGGGGGTTCTGGGCTGTTACAGCATGGGTGCAGTAGTTCTAGTCTCCCGAGACTAGCAGCAGGAAGGTGTTAACAGTGTGGCTGGGCTGTTGGAAGGAGGAAAGAACTCAAGAAATTAAAACTGATGCCATGAACAGCAAAAAGGGAAGAGCACAGGGAGAGGGCTGTCACCAAAGTGCTTGTCATACAAACATGAGGACCTGAGTTGGACCCCAGCATCCACTTATAAGTTGGGTGTGGTAGCCCTGGTTTGTAATCCTAAGGCTGGGAGGCAGAGATAGGACTCCTGGAGTTCACTGGCCAAGCTGCCTAGTTTAACTGGTGAGCTCCAGGTCCCAGTGAGAGATCTGTCTCAAAAAAACGGATAAACAAGGGGGAAGGCTTGTAGCATGCGTGTGCAAACACACACACACACACACACACACACACACACACACACACAATTTAAAAAGGGAACAACAGACACTCCCTGCCTAAATAGAAGTAAAATCCTAGACAATTAGTGGGAGAAACCTACGGAGATGTGGATACTAGGTCTCCCCCAAGTTTGCGGTGTCCAGGGCAGTATTATCACTGGATAACCAAAAGCTCCCAGGATAGGCTGGTGAGGTTGAGGGGCCCTGGTGGAGGAAGGGGCCCAGTGAAGGGCTTGTGTGTCCTCCCAGCACAGAGCAGGCCACAGCCATCATGTTGTGTCCACCCTCCCAGGAAATCACTCTGTATTCCAACTTGTTTGGAATGGAATTCATCTATAACATAACTGTTTTTACTGACCACTGGTGATTGGTCAGGGGTGGCTGCTGACTTGGCCTATGCCATGAGGGCACTGCCCAGAATCCTGGAGCTGGTACCATACACTATAGTGCACTTGCTTGGTGCTAGCCCTGGGCTAAGCATTCTTCAGACATTATCTCCTTGGACCCCAGGACATGCTAAGGTGGCTACTGCCACCTTTTTCACAGAGGACACACGAGAGGTTCCCCACACTGACTTGACTCCTGCACTTTTGTGTCTTTTTGTTTTGTTGAGATAGGGTCTTACTATGGTCTTCCAATTCACCGTCCTCCTGCTTTAGCCTCTCAAGACACCCTTGGTATCTTTAAGGCCATGACTTTGAATTAGGTGAAACACCAGTAGCCACCAATGCCACTGGAGGGAGAAGCAGTAGGTCTGAGGGGGAGGTTGGCTGACAGGGATGTGTGAGATGTGGAGCTGGAAGAGGAAGGGCCTCTAAATTCTCAGTCAGCGAGTGTGACTCCACTCCTTATGGCTGTCATCAGCCCAGCTCTAAGATTCCTTGTACTAGGAAGGGTGTGTTCATGAGAACAGAACAGTACCTAGGAGTAGCTCAAAAGAACATTTATTCATTTCAGTATGAAAAGTCCAGAAGTCAGTGGTCCCAGCAGAGAGCTCCACGTCTCCTTCCCCGCCTGACCACAATATGGCTGTCAGGGGTCCAAACGTCACACGTGTTCGCCCAGCAGCACCTAGGCAGAAAGGAAAGGGGGACAGCCAAGAAACTAACAATAGAGGACAGTGATGCCCTGAAGCTGCCCCTCCTAATCCCAGCTGAAGCTGGCTCCTGGGAGTCCTCAAAGCTGCATACACAATACCCTTTTCTAGTTCCCAAGAGCCACTATGTCCCATGTGACAGCTGGTTTTGAGTCCTTCAGAAATGACTCCCTTCCATCCTCATGTCCACACATGGTTTGAAGGTACTGTCTTTGGAATTGTAATGAATCTACTTGGCCCTTGGTCCAATCCACCATGTGTCCACAGCTGCTCTGTCCCCCCACTGTTGTCCCTGGCAGTACCACCCCTGCCCCCTTCCCTCACTACCACATTACGATGTGTGGCAATAGTGGCATTCCATTTTGCAGCTGTAATAGCATTCACTCAGCATAAAAACTGAGTATTGATGACAAAATTCTGTATTTCCTGTGGGTGACTAGCTATATATTTACAAGCTTTTAGGAAGGTCTAGAAAAGTACACACTGAGCCCATCGCAGTGCCACCTCTGGGGAGGAGGAAGGGAATGGGATGGCAGCAGGTGGCCAGAAGGGACTCAGCTTCTGCCGTGTTCTGTTTTTTAAAAAGGAGAATGTATTCCTGTTTCGCTGTGTCATTAAACTTTAATCTGAAAAAAATTCCCATTTATTTTCAGCCAATTATCCCGGCTCTGTGTGTTTGGCCGTGCCCACATGTTTGTGCCCAGGGAGGAAGAACATTTACTTTATATGTGTCTGTGAATGAAGTACAGTGATTAGAAAGTAGATTAAAAAGAAATGTAGCAAACAAAAGCCAAACAAAATGGGGGCGGGGTAGAGAAACTCATTCTCAACAGTAACAGAAACTATGGAAATAAACCCACGAGGAAACAGGCAAGTTTCCTACGGGAAAACTGTGTGAGGATGTAGATTGGAACAAATTTGGAGTTCTACCACATCCTAGAGTGAATGGCACAGTATTGTGTTGATGTCAGTTTCTCCCAAATTAATCTCTGAATTCACAGTATTTGACAAACAGCTTTTACAATCTGTGTGGAGGAGTGAGCTGAGACAGCTGTGAAGAAAGTACAATGAGATGCGCCATCTCAACAGATATCAGAAGGCAAGAAGCAAAAGCAAATAAAATAGTCTGGTACCGACAGGAATAAATAATTGGTTAAAAAAAAACCCAGGGGCCTCAGAGCCACCTAGCTATGGGGCCTCTCTACGAGGGAGCGGCACTTCAGAGCAGCAGAGAAAGATGGACTAGTTGATCCATTGTGTTCCAATAATTGGCTGTCCGCTTTGAGAAAGGTTAGAGGCTGTCTCAGTTCAGTCATAGAAATATATTCCAGATGCGTGAAAGAGCCAAGAACAAAAACTGTGAAATCATTAGAAAAGAATAAAGGTTCTATTTAAATGTTAGGCGTAGGGAAGGACCAAACATGATATATATTCAAGAAAGAACAAAGGGATTGAGGAATTGGATTATAACAAAATTAGAAACTTCTAACCTAAGATTCTACAGAGAGCTGAGGGCAACAGACAGGTTAGAAAAAAAAACATTTGTCGAGAAGCCCAAAAGATTACTACCCAGATTTCATGAGGAAATTCTACAAGTCAATGAGCTAAAACACCTTAATGTTGAAAGTAAGCAAAAATAAACAGACGGTTCAGAGAAAATACAAATGCCCAACATACATATGAAAACCTCATGGGCAAACGGGAAATACAAATTTAAAAAAGGATTTAACTTTTCACCCATCTGCTTGGCAAATATTAAGAACTGCTTATGGTGTGGGGACAAGAGTCCTCTTAGTCTCTTGCTGGGGGTTTACATGGTACAGAAAGCCTGGAGGGCACCAGTGAAGTTTGCCAAAACTGAAGACACACACTGGGAGACCCAGCACCCCACTTCTCCATCATTACTCATAACAGCAGAGAGAAAGGGAAGTGATTAAACATCTATAGAGCCTGGAGGCGGGAAATGTGGGGCACTGACAGGAATGAATACTCTGCTGTGTTAAAGGGTAAGAGCTTTAGGGGACAGCATGGCTGTGTTGTAAAGTCAGAAGAGGGAGTGAAGATGTAGCTACAGTAAACTCTTTCAGTGTCAGAGCACCTGCATGGATCCTATGCATTCCCAGGGAGGCAACACGCAAAGCTGTGGAGCGGATGGGATGCAGGACTTTGGCAGGGGCGAAGGCAGCTGGATTTGGGTCACTCTGCCTCTAAAAGCGAGAATGTATTCAGGGTTTGCTTGTTTAATGAAAATATAATTTGAAAAGATTCTAATTTGTTTTTAGCTAATTATGCAGGCTCTGTGTGTTTGGCTGCGCTCATGTTTGTGCCCAGGGAGGAAATACATTTACTTTGTGTGTCCGTAGAGCAAGCTCGGCAATTAGTAAACAGGTTGATGGAATATGGAGAACAGGGGCCACGCAGAGAAGAGCTGAGGACTGAGAGCAAAGCCTAAGAATAAATCTGTCAAGATACAGGCAAAACTGTCATGGGTAGAAAAACACCAAGCTGTCCCTGAAAGGCAGGAAGAGGATCTGAACTGGGTAGACATGACATGCAGGCACACTGGGGGGAAGACTGTAGGATAAAGACGCTGACTGTCCTCAGACTCACCCATGAATTTGGTGCAATCCCAAATAAAATCCTAGCAATTCTTTTAAAACTTGACCAGCTGGCTCTAAAATCTAAACTGTGGGACAAATACACAAGACTGACCAAGACAAGGCTGCAGAACTAATAGTGCCTTTGCAGTTATTAAAGCAACACCCTCAAGCAGACGGATGGGTGGACAGAAAGAGCCCTGACCCAGAGCTGTGACAAAGGCAGGAAGCTTAAATTACTGGGGAAATGACAGATTAGCCAGTAAATTCAATTAGAAAGCTTAGTTATCTATTTTAAAATGTATCCAAATTAAATACCAATAACACACTTTAAATAACCTTCACATGCAGTAATTTGCTAGATATGAAAACCGGAAAATAATTTTAAAACAAATCCAAGAAAGCAAGCAGAAAGTTTTAGAAAGAAAATGTAGAAAAAAATGGTTGAGGGGCTGGAGAGATGGCTCAGCGGTTAAGAGCACTGACTGCTCTTGCAGAGGACCCAGGCTTGATTCCCAGCACCCACATGGTGGCTACAAATTGTCCTTAACTCTAGTTCCATGGGAATCTGAAGCTCTCTTCTGACTTCCTCAGCATTGCATGACACGGGTGCACTCACATACATGCAGGCAGTATACTCATACACATAAAATAATAAAAATATTTTAAAAAATGGTTGTGAAGATGGTATTAGGAGAGGCCTTCATAAGGCAAGATAGGATTCTAGATTTGGCTGGGCATGGTGGTCTATAATTCTAACACTTGGGAGGTGGAGGCAGGTGGATCAGGAGTCCAAGGTTGGGCTGGAGAGATGACTCAGAGGTTAAGAGCACATACTCCTCTTCCAGGGGACCTCAGTTCGACTTCCATCAACCACAACAGGTGGTTCAGCTGTAACTCCTGCTCCTGGGAGATCTGACACCTTTGGTTTCCACAGGCACCTGCACTCACATGCACATACCCATCTACCTCCCACATATACACATAATTAAAAAAAAAAATAAATTTTTTTTTTTTTTTTTTTAAAAAAAAAGAGTTCAAGGTTATCCTAAGCTACACAGTAAATTTGAGGCTAGCCGGGCATACATGAGACCCAGTTTCAAAAACTCAAAACCACACAAACCAAAAACTCAAACTGTGGACAGCTTAGGAACAAGGCTCCCAATACTATTCTGAGAACTTCTTTTTAAAAGATATTTTATTTTTATTTTATGTGTATGTGTATTGCCTCCATGTATTTAAGTGGATCCGTGTTGTGTAGTGCCCACGGAGGTCAGAAGAGGACGTTGGATCCCTTGAACTGGAGTTATGGATGGTTGTTAGCTGCCATGTGGGTGCTGGGAATCGAACCCAGGTCTTCTAAGGAGTGTTTCTGAAACATGTGACTTGGTGTTCTCTGATGACTTTTTCCAACAAAGAGGAAAAAACTTACTGCAGGCTTGTGGGTGTTTCAAAGGGAAAACACGCAACACAGGAGTGTGACCTAGGCGGACGGCAAGATACTGTACATCAACCATGGGGGGAACATTTTCTCCAAATACCTGCATCGATGCTATGTTGCGTGTGACTCTGGAAAGAGATCCAGAAACTCTTAACTAAGGCTTCCTGGAGGAGAAAACCCCGGGCTCTTGGGCAGCTGAGGAGAAGACAGGTGGATTTGGTCATTCTACCTCTAAATGGAAGAATGTATTCATGCTTTGCTTCTTTAATTAAAACATAATTTGAAAAGATTCTAATTTGTTTTCAGCTAATTATGTCAGCTCTGTGTGTTTGGCCGAGCTCATGTGTTTGTGCCCAGGGAGGAAGAACATTTACTTTGTGTGTCTGCAGAGCAAGCCTGGTGATTAGTAAACAGATTGAGATGGAATATGGAGAACAGGGGCCACGTAGAGAAGAGCCGAGGGGCCCCGTTCACAGTTGCTGGCAGCCCTGCAAAGGCCTGAGGAATAAATCTATCAAGAAACAGACAAGAGTTTACCCAGTGCAAACCAGCCATGCACTCGATGATCTGAACTGGGAGGGTACAATATGTACTGGCCAGGGGACTGCATGACAAAGATGTCGATTTTCCTCAGATTTATCTGTAAATTCAGTGTAACCCTGACAAAATTTCCTAGCAAAATTTTTCTTGAAACTTGACAGGCTAATTAAAAAATCAACGTGGAAGGGCTACCATGCAAGAACGACCGAAATGATTCTATAAAAGCAACAAAGCAGATCAATCTGTCCTGACTGGTATCAAAGCTCATCATCAGGCCTGAGAACAGACGGGCACATCGGAGGGCCAGAGACAGCCTGACACATACCACATGGGGGTGGTGGCAGATGAAGGTAGTAAGTTTAAATCAGTGAAGTCGTCTACCATCCATAGACAGTGCTGAGACAATTAGTGTTGAGGAGGGGTGATGGTAAGGTTCATGCATGTAGAATTTGTTCTTTATATATGACACATATGATTGGATCAAATTTTAAATTTCTCTAAAAGCAATTCAATTAAATGGCAAAAAAGCACGATGTGGAAAACTTTGGCATTAACTACAACAAAGCGCTAGAATATGAGATACGTGAAATACATAAAGAGGAACCAAGAAAAGAAAAAATAGCTTTAAAAGGGAGGGAGGAAAGAAGGAAGGGAGCAAGCAGGATATGGCGGCCCATCTGCAATCCTAGTACTTGGGAGACTGACGCAGGAGGATCTCAAGTTTGAGGCCAGCACAGACTACATAGAGAGACTTTCGTTTTCTCAGAAAAATGAAAGAAAAGAAAGCACGGGACACAGAATACAGACAAGCAAGTCATCGAAGAAAGTATGAATGAAAGTCAACAGAAACTTCCGCCTTACTAGTGATGCAGAAAAATACACACTAACGAGATTTATTTTCATTACCCTGTTGGTGGAAACATTAACCTTGGAGCAGTTCTGGCAGCAGAGTGAATTGGAAAGACTCTTTGAAGGACATTTTATCTGTTTCTGTCTGAATTTAGGAGGTGTCTTCCCTGTGGCCCCACAGTTCTAAGGCTCTGTCTCAGAAAAATACTCTCATATGAGCAGAAGGGGCAATGCCAGGCTATTCCTGGAGGGGCATCTTAATGAAGAGCACTGGAAGCATTTCAATAGTCAGTCAATAGAAAACAACTCAATAAAAGGCGGTAAAATTGGTTCCAACCAGTTGAGGAGCACTGGAGCGAACGCAGATGTGGGCGGCCACTCGAAGCCAGTCCTGTAGGGTGCAGGGCTCAGAAGCACCTCTGGCGTGGACACCACCTGCCAACATGATAGACAGAAACAATAGGACAGACATGTTGGACAAACAGTGAGTACTAAGAGCAGTTCCCGCCTACTGGAGGGGCAAGGCCCAAGGTGGAAGTCAGGGGCCAGGAGGGACTTGCTCATCTGTATTTAAAAGAAAATGCATTCAGGCTTTACTTGTATAATTGAAACTTAATTCAAACATTCAAATTCATTTCCAGCCAATTAGCTCTGATTTACATGTGTGTTGTGTTCTCATTTATGTGTCCAGGGGCAAAGCACGTTCATTCCGTGTGTCTGTGAATGGAACACAGTGATTAGCAAATTGATTGAAATCTGGAAAGCAAAATGAAAAACTGGGCAAGTTTTCCAGTCACAAAAGCAACAAAACTAATAAGCTACTCAGGAGTCAACCCATTAAGAAATGTGAAGAACCTCTGTGACCAGCACGGCCAGCTTTTATTAGAAGGCATTAAAAACAAAACAAAACAAAACAAAACAAAACAAACAAGCAAGGCTGAGTATGGGAGACAGGCGCCATGCTCACAGATGGGAAAAGCTGATGGCGCCGTAATGATGCTATTTTTCCCTCCAATGCAGTCTCACTTAATAAGATCCTATCCCTGCCCCCACCATGGAACTTTGACAAGCTAATCATAAGATATATAAAAGTAAACTGGCAATATAACAAGGTAATTTTTTAAAAAGAATAAAGGGCAGGGCAAAGGTACTTACCATATCTGATATTAAGACACTATACAAAGCTCTGCTCATTAAAATATGGCATTGGCTCAGCGGTGACAGACCAACAGCATGAAGAGACTAGACACAGGGAACTGGGAGAAAAGACAGTGAGGGACCAGTGAGTAGTGTTTGGCAAGCTGAATCAGAGCTACCTCTGTCACATCACACACAAAAGTATATTTCAGATGGAGTGAAGACCGAAGCACAGGAAACCATAATACAGGACTCACACACAAACACAGAACATCTGTCGTGGGGAGAGTCCCACCTGACACCAATGCAGTAAGGTGGGACACTCTGACAGGACATTTTTAGATCTATAGGACTCCAGGCAGACCTGCTTCCTCCAGGACCTCCTAGCCTGCTTCTTTCTTTCATCCTATCACACTGGGTAGATGGAGGTCTACAGACATCTCCTGTCACTTGTGTGGTGTTGGCATGCCTCTCTTCCATTCCTTCCTGGAGGGTTGCAGAAACTCTTCTAGGGGATGATGAATGTAAACCCAGGGCTCATAAGAGTGAACAAGGCAGATTTTTTTCTTCTACTTTTTCTCCATTCACTTGCCAAATGCCCACCATTGAAGACTTAAATACCCCAATTCTTCTTTCTAGCACCATAACAAGTTGTCTGACTTTTTCAGAAGTCTGAATGTTGACTTTGGTACTCCATTCTAAGCCAGAAAATGTTGATTTGGCACCCCAAAGCTCACTGTGGGCTGCACAAAAAAGTATTAAGACCCAACCCCAGTCATGAGACAGGATCAAACCAATGCTAATCAGACATGTAGGCAGGACACAGCTCAGATAAAAGCTCCCAAAAGAAAATGGAGATCAGGTTGCTCTCTAAAAGGTAAATAATTGAATTTTGCCCCATTTGGTCATATACACATTATTACCCCAAACTGATTTATATTCCTCTGCATTCAATCCCAGTCCCCTTGGGACCTTATTCCAACTGATGCCTCCATCCCTAACCTCAACTACTCAGGTTTCTCAGTTGGGATATCCATGTGCCAGCACTACTCTTTCTTTCAGACTGAGATTAAGAAGGCCTGGATCCTGTTGGTTCTTTCTCCTCAGCTCAGTCCCCCGACTGCCTCTTTGCAGTCCATTTCTGTCCTTTCTCGGCAAGTCTTTGGCATAGGATGTCCCCTTGACCCCAAATGCTATTTTTTTTTTCCCAGGAAACTCTCTCTCTCTTCCATTTTAGTCTGCAGCATCAAGTTCTTGGTGAGGTCTCTCAGAGTGAGACCAGGGCAGAGCTCTTGGTCCTCCATCCTCCAGTCCTCTGCATATTCCCATTACTGTGGGACATTGCACGGTGATGAGTGTCTCTCCTACCACCATACAAACCCCACTAGCTAGGGATTTTGTCTGACTTTTTCCCCCAAAGGATCCACAGTGGTAGGAATAGTGCCTGGCACACAGTAGGTGCTACATTGGAATATGTGAACGTGCAGACTGCTCACTGAGCATTTTTCACGTTTGGGAGCTGATGTCTGCCTATGAACTTGCTCATTCCCCCTGCCCCCTACTCCCCCTTTTCACATCTCTAAGTTTTCCTTCCAAACTCCATGAAGGACTCTTAGTTGGCAGCCTTATGTCCTTGCACATCGACAGTATTTTAATTTACGTCCCTATGACCCTCCAAATGCTCTTTTTAAGGCGACAACAAGTGAAATCCTGAAATCCAAGAGAAAATTTGTTTCAATCTGATTGGAATTCACTGCCACATTTGACAGTATTGATTACTTTCTCCTTGAAACCCTTCACTATCTTGGTTGCCGTGGCAACCCCTCTCCTAGTTTGTTGCATCTCTCAGACCTTTCCCTCTCTGCTACCCTGATCAGTTCCTTAAATGTTTCTAACTTACTTTCCTGCCCTGGGCCCTCTGCTGTTTTCTCTCTACCTCCCCAGCAAGTTCCCTTTCTGAGTCCCCACTGCTGAGTGGTAATGGTCCCATACCAGTACGACTAATTGCATCTTTCTTCAGTCTTACAACCTTGGATTCAGGTACCTGATGTTTGGATCCCCAACACCCTGACTACATGTGAGCCACTCACCAGTGCCTTTAACTGACTCTTAAAGCTGTATGTCCCAACCCAGGGGCTTCTCTACCATCCACCCAGGGCTGCACCCAAGGCACACCCCTGGCCTGACTTTTAACAGCTAAGGATTCTAAGTATTCGATATTTCCATCTACCACAATGTTCTGATCTGTTTATCTCCAACCCCACTGGTCTAGTTGAGAGCTCTCTCTATCCTGTACTCTCCAGCCTCTGGACAGACAGAATGCTTGGTGAAAGAAGTCAGAAGTCTGTGGCTTTCTAGTATCCTTCTCCTTTATACAGGCGTGTATGACCTTTAAGGGGATTTCCTGGTCCCCATTTCATGTGGCTGAAGTGGGACCCAGGCTGCTCTATCATGCAGAAGCTACACTTCCCTCCTTAGGTACACTTCTTACTACTGAGTCTTGTCAAAGGGTAGCATGAGGCCCTTTCTCAGTCAGTTAAACCAAGGCTCACTTGGATTTCTGTTCAATATGGAAGAAATAGTTAAATTCATTATCCACTATCTAAGAGAGACCAGAGCATTCAAGACTGTGACCCAGTGCCCACATTCTCCACAGCTTATCATTCTCTCCCTCTGCTCTGCTTCTTGGGGTCTCAGTTTCCTTCCCTGTGAAATGTAACTAGTGCTGTCTGCTTCACGACATACAAGTCAGTCAGGCTGTGATGATCAGACAGGACAATGGCTCTGACAGTGTACAAACTATGAGGAACTACACCCAGAGGCCAGGGAGCATTCCGAGACCCAGACAGTGCAACCATGACTCTACAACTTTGTCGATTCCCTGAATGATGCCAACGGAAGCCTTTTAACAGAAAGAAAACACCTGAAGCTCCATTTCAGACATCCGAGTTGAGGCAGAAAATAATTATTCAGCCCCTACCTCGCTGACTGCCTGTTGCTAGGTACCTAGAGTACAAAGAATGTGTAAGACGCGACCCCGGCCATCAGGCAAGATGAAGTCAACGGCTAATTAGCTGCAGTCAGGACCCACAGGGTGGAAGCAAGCTCCCCAAAAACACGCAGATCAGATTCCCCGGAAAAAGGAACATGATTGAATTTTGTTCCTTCCATCAACACAACTAATCCCTTCACCTCAACACTTAATCCCACTGTTCTGGGGCCCCTCGCTGCCTGCTGTCCCCACTCTTCAAGCCCAGCTGCCCAGCCTCCCCTGTCCCAGTGTGGTCCTCCAGCATGGGAGCCTTCCTGGCCCTGAGGCTCCTGGAGCCCCCTCCTCCCTCCTCCTGCTCTCTTAGCCAGATTAGAGGCTTACTGTTGGCCACCTGGGGCTTCTGTCCTGTCCTCAGAGTTGTGGCAGCAAAGGTCCAAAGTCATGTCCTGGCCTCCCCTGACCTCTGTGCATATGGCCCAGTTGTGGCCACTCATCTTTCTAGACTTTTCCTTGGATTCTGGGATCTCTGTGCTTTGTGGTCTTCTCCAATGGTCCCTTCTTTTCAGTCTTCTCAGCAGAGTCCCTAGAATTCCAGTCCCAGTTTCAGGACTGGTTCCTGTGAGTTCTAATTGTACCTTTGTGGGTGTACACCTGTATATGTGGGTGTACCTGGTTTTGTGTGTGTTCATGTGTGTATGTGTGTGTGGAGGCCAGAAGTAGATGTTAGGTGCCTTCCTCCATCTCTGTCCACCTTACTTTTAAAAAAATATTTATTATTTTTATTTTCTATGTATACATGTATTGCCTGCATGTAGGTAAGTGCACCCGTGTCATGCAATGCCTGTGGAGGACAGAAGAAGCTAGTGGATCCCCTGGAACTGGAGTTATGGACAGTTGTTAGCTGCCATGTGGGTGCTGGGATTCAAACCCCGGTCTTCTGCAAGCACAGCCAGTGTTCTTAACTGCTGAGCTATCTCTCTAGGCCCAGTCCACCTTATTTTTTTGAGACAGGGTCTTTCACCGAACCTAGAGTTCACAATTTGGCTAGACTGACTGGCCAGGAAGCCCCCGGGATCCTCCTGTACTCTAACTCAGCACTGGGATTACAGGTGTGTGTGGCTATGCCTGGCTTTTACTAAGGTGCTGGAGATTGAAGGCGGGTTCAATTAAACTATGTAAGCACTATCAAAAAAAGCCATCTCCTCACTCCCTTAAAACTATTTTTGATGTAGGATATGTGCTCTGAGGTGACTCTGGAATAAGTTTTCTTTCTAGTGAACAATGGATCAACAATCTGAACCTGAGTTTTAAACAAGCCTTCTCGTTTTGCTCCAGTTCTTAGTTAAGCTATTCCTTGCTGATTATGGTGTCCATAGCCACAACCTTCTCAGAGAACATGCCCCCTGAACAGAGAACCAGAAAGTGTGATTAGAAACAAAGACAATGAACACAAGGTGGCATTTCAGGGTGGGAGAAGAAAGCCTTGCAGCTCTGCCAGTAGAGTGTGTGGAAAGACAGGTCACCTACTTTGCCAATGAGAATGGACCCATCTAACTGACATCCACTAGTCTGGAGATGTCCAATCTTGTAAGGATACATTACTAAGGAGTCACAAGAGGGACAGCCCCACCCTATCCCTTACCTGTACCGAAATACCTGCATGGCTCTGCCAAGGCATTTCATCATCTGCGACAGTATCATCTGAACCAACTCCTGCCAAGGCCACCTTTGTGGAGCTGCAGCCGTCTTCATGATCCTTCCATGCTCTGAAACGCAAACTTGATGCAGTCTGGGGTCTCCATGCCCGAATCAACACTGTCCGAGGGATCCAGGCTTCTGAGGATGTGATGCTAGAGCTGGAAAGGAACTCAGGGATAATCTAGTTCAACTGCTTCCTTTTATAGATGAGGAAACAGGCATGGTGAGTGCAGGTAACTCACAGCAAGTCACTGGGAAACATCCAATGGGGATTTTGTCTATCTAATCTTGATTGAAAATAATGGAAACATGGATTGCAAAAAGACTTAGGACAGCAAATTTGTATTTATCTAGGGGAGTGGCAAAATGTGTGAAAGGGATGCTCGAGTCAGGGAAGACAGGCTGTTTCTGCCAGTTCTTACTGGAGGTGTCCTACATAAAATGGGGACAATTGAGAATCTGAGGTGATGGAAGCAAACTCATTCAAGACTGGGTGAGTTTACCTGGGGTGGGGGTCCTCAGATCTCAAGACCCATGAATGTGTAACACTTCCAAACACTATGCACAACTCTGCTTAAAGGAGGGGTTGGTCTTTCTAGTCCTGACCACTAGTGGATATCAATTCTGAATAACTCAGTCAGCCCCACCCAGCTAGCCAAAAGACAGGATTCTTAGTTCCCTTCCATCAGTAGCAGCTTAAACACTGACAGATTGATTGATTTATATTTGAGGTACAGTTTCATGTAGGTCACACTGGCCTCTAACTGACCTTGAACTCCTGATCTTCCTGTCTCTACCTCCCAAATCCTGGGATTACAGGCATACACCTCCGTGCCTGGTTCAATTTGATCTAACTTCTCATTTCAGATGTTTACTTCATACTGGCAAATATTTACGTGGCACCTCCCAGCAATGGTGTGAGGACAAGTCATTGGCCTGGTGCTAAGCCTCTTGGGTTTGGGTGAGCAGGTTGCTGTATGCTTGGTTAACTCTGACTAGCCCAAATAGTCCAGTCTACTCCAGGCATCTTGGGACATGGACTACCACTTGCCCTTGTGCATTGTTGGCAGTTGCCTTCCTGATGGCATTTCATTGCTTTTTGGCTTGGGGGGAGGGTGTCCTCAGATACTTTTACAGTATCTAATTCCTTCCTGCACCCCTAGTTTTTAATAGGTTAATATTTCTATTGTTTAATGTTTATAAAGTCAGCAGCTCTTGTTGAGTTCTTTCTCTCTGAACAGTTGTGTCTCAGTCCTCAAGCCCTAATAATCGCCATATATGCTCACACCCCAGCCCCAGCTCTTCATCCCAGCAGCTCTCCACCTGCTTCCTCCACTCTTGACATCTGATGGAAGAGGACTGTGGTTCAGGTAATGCTCTGCAGGGCAATGGGATGGGGGGGGGTGGGATGACGACATCCCAGCTCTGCCCCTCCTCCTGGCTAAATGGAAGCCCTTCTGTCAGCAGGCATGATTGTGCCAACCTTAGGAAGCTCTGTACGATTCCAGGAGATATTGCTGATAAACTGCTCATCATAGCTGATCTAGAAAAGCACTTGCCAGATATTAGCTAAACGGAAAAAAAAAAAAAGCCATCCAAAAGGGGTCCCTTCCGCTTCTCTAGCTCTTACCTTTCAAAGCCAGGAGTGGCTATCTGCCTCCCACTGTCACTTGTTCCTCTCACACAGCAATGCCTTATCGGCCTCTATCACTCTGCTAATCCAAAGAGAGATGAGAAGACCCCTCAACCAACCCAGGAATTCCTTCTTGATCCTCATGCTGGTGGTAGTTGTCACTCCCATTCCTGACACCTTTGTAGGCCATCTCCTTTGAGAGATCAGGTGGTTGCCTCTGATTGGTACTTAAGAGTAGAGTAGATACATGGGGAGGTGACAGCCAGCCCATGAACAGTAGTAGCTCCATTAATAATAATAGAACTCCACCCCTGAGTAATATAGAAAGACAAAGGGTGAGCCATGAGCCACAGAGTATGACCTAGGCTGGTAAGAAAACCAATGGCAATCATATGGATCATGGATTGAAAGGGCTTGGGTTAGAAGCTGAGACATCAGTGCAACTAAGCAACCAGAGATGACTAGATTCAAATGAAGAGGAGGAGATAGGACTGGGAAAGACTGAGGGGTCAGAGAGACAGGTCTAGAGGTACAGAGGTGTTGGCAACTAAGGAGGGCTAAGGAGGCCCAATCCAGTCTCACTAGTTCAAATATCAGTCACAATCGCACACCAATCTGTCAGGCAGGCACAGCTGTGAGGGTCATTACTTGCAGTAGCTGGGTGTCTGCTAAGCACCCTGTAGGCCTTAGTTCCTGTCAGTGCAAAATGGAACCACATGGCACCCATAAAAACAGCTGCATATGGAAATAACTGTTCATATTTGACAAGTGAAAACAAATTCAAAAGTCATCCACTGAAAAGCAGCGCCCCCCTCAAGAGCCCTGTCCATCTGTGAGCAGCAGACCAACCCCCACAGTACACAGCTGAAGCCTGGGGGCTGCAGAGGCTGGGTCTCTCCTTTGAGTTGGCAAAGGGTGTGGGCCCAGAGGGCAGTGTAGGTCCATCTGGGCAGAGTGATCCCAGGGACAAGTGTGTGTGTGGCAGTGGTGTGAGGCTGAAGGGAAGGCAGTTCTGAGACCATCATGATGGTGAAGATGTTCATGATCTTTGAAGACAGATGACGGAAATGAGCCATGACAACAAGCAGCTCAGTCTGTGGTGTCAGAGCTCAGGAGTCAGGGGCCAATGGCCCTGTCAATCTGTGGGCCAGCTGACAGCACCTCTCCAGAGCTGGGCTTGGTTGTGGAACAGGAGTCTGTACTCTGCCCTGCTGCCAGCTCACCCACCTGCCCAGAGACAGGGAGGGGCCCATAATAGTATCAAGCTTCCAAAACTCTCCATGTGGGGTTGAGGGCATGGGGCAGGTAGAGAGAAGTTACCCTAACCATAACCAGGAATCCACTGACATCCAGTTCTGCTGGGTACCTACCATGTGTGCTTTACCATGTGTGCACTACTGCCAGAGAAGATGCCAGGGTGTGGTGCTTTTGTGAGGTTCTCACATATCTGTTTAAAATACTAGTCTGGAAAGTAATTACCATCACTTTAGAGTTGTCAAGAAGAGTCTTGGGATGCAATCCCCTTCCTTTCAGGAAAGGCCCGTTGTCAGCTCCTTTAGGAGTCTAGCACTAATCGACAGAGACCTACCTAGTCACCCACGGCGCCACCGACCAACACAACAGAAGCTGTGCCAAGCCTGGGGCTCTGCATCTGGTCAAGTGACAGGGCCCCTATGCTTAAGGGTCATGCAGGACTTCAGTGCCCTCCTTGGGACCACAGATACTAGGGAACCACTGATGCTTTGACTGTTTTCCTCTCTTACGAGCCCTTCTACATCTGCCCTGGCTATACATGAATATTCTTGGCACTTCTGCACCCACGAGTAAAACTGGAAGTTTATTCCTTAATGCAAAATCCTTTGATTAAATACTGCATTGTCTTAACACACTTTCTTTCAGCCAACATTTCCAAGACTAAAGTAACAAGAATAAAGGTCACCAGTGTCTCAAAGGAGATGGCTTTAGAAATGTTAAAGACTTCTTCTCCTTAACTAATAAATGGAGAAACAGCCCTCAAGGAGTATGAGTGGCAGAGAACAAGGTCACATGCCAAGCAGTGGGGAATCGAGCCCAGGGCCCTATTATCTCTTGTCTCCCTGTCTCATCTTTAGAAGGTTACCACCAGTGTGGAGCAGGGAATGGTAGAAGAGAGAGCTGTCCAAGTGCAAGCTATCCACAGCTCCCCAGGAAAAGGGGTGAGAGGCCAGAAGCACCCAGAGGATTTGTTTTTGGAGAAGGGTCTTGTTCAACAGGATAGGATGAGACACTCTCACACATATCCCCGTCTGGACTGCTCCCAGAGGAGGCAGGGATTGCTCTCTGAGAGCCTAGTAAGGGTCACATGGGGGGCTACAGAACAGAGGGAGTGGCATGGCAGAGACTGCCTTGAGGCAGATGATAATGACCTCCATTTTAAGGTGAGGAAACTGAGGCTGGGGGAAGAGCACAGTCAGTCACAAAGGCAGGGCATAGGACCTGGGGCTCCTTGAAGCCTTGCAGCAGTCTACTCCTGACCCCCGTGTTTGAGTCCGTTTCCCAGGTTCCAAAGGGAGACAAGGTCTTCTATATGGATGCTTGTCCAGCCTCTCCCCTTCCCCTAGAAAAGGATGCATAATCCAAGTTTTATTCAATGGACTCCATCTCCCCCAATATCTGGCCTGCAAAGCCCTGACTTCCCTGCCTCATCTGCTGCCACTTCTGAGATCTTTTCTCCTCACTCCCAGTGATCAAGACAGAGGTGGCCTTTGCTGCAGCCCCATGCCTCCACTGCTTAAACGTACTGTTCCCTCGGAAAGAATCTGACTTCACATGCTGCTTACTGTGAATGTGCCCTGTAGGCTGGAAACTGGAGCTCTTAGGGCTGTTTTGGGGCCTGCCAACAGCAATTCTGCTTTAAATCTCCCCTTTAGTGTCCCTTAGTGGTTAGTGTGCAAGCTTTAAATAGACTGACCTCTTTTTCCCCAAAAGTCTTCTGGACTCTGATTCTAAGGCAGCCAGATATTGGTGGTCCTCCCTTTACTTTCCAGCCCCGTGTCTATCTGTGAGCACAGAGATGCTTGATTGGATCGTAAGTAGTAGCATCTCATCTATTATGTCATTGCTCAAATGTTTACTCTTCATCTTCAGGTCTCAGCCTGAAAGTCAGTCCTCCGTGGCCTGCACCTGCTCCTTCCTGAGACTCTCACAGCACTTGCCACAGTCCTTGTGGTGCTTTGGAATGATCTGCTCAATGCTATCCCCTTTCCAGTTAGCCTGGAGGACACTGTGATAGCAGAAACTGTCCACTGTGGTCCCAGGGTCTCACCACGCATGAGATTCTGACAAATACTAGAGAGGTGAATAGGAGGCAGGCCTCCTGAGCAGGTGGAGCACTGGTGGACTGTGCCCTTCTCTGTTGCTAAGAGAAACTCTGGCATGCACCTCAGCAGCGTCTGTGAAGGCTGAATGAAGGGCTCTAGACTAGCCAGCACCCAAGAAAAGCAAGAAATGCAGAAAGCTTCCTGACATAGGTAGTGTACACTGAAAGCAGAGAGCACATGCATGCAGTCTCCAAAGTACCCTGCCACCAACTCACTTAGCCACCTTCCTCAAGTGGGCTCAAGGACCCTAAGATCCTAGGAGAAAGAGCTCCCAGAACACCAGGGCTAGGAAAACTATCTTTGCTCAAGTTCACATTTTACCTATAAGGAAACTGAGGGCTGGAGCAGGGCATCCTCCCAAAGAAGCCTGGCCCTTAGTCTCACGGGGCTTGTGGTTGGTTCATACCAGGAGCCACAGTGGGCAATGGGGTATAGTACATGTTTCCTCTGAGGCTTTGTGGCCTTACTTTTTCAGGAGACATCTTTTTGTTTTCCTGAAAAGCATTTCAGGAAGAGGGGTGGGATGCTGGGTGGGTGGGAAGCTCTGCTGGGCAGACAGAATGCTGATGTGGCAGGTACCTTTCAAGGGGTGGGCTCCTGGCTCCCTGCAGAAAGAGCCACATATCTTTTGGAGGGAGGCCCGTGACTCTCAAGCTGTATGACCTACAACAGAAAGCTGCTTTCTGAGGGAGAGCAAAATAAGCAATGATCTTGGCTTCATTTATGATCCAGGTGCCTCCACAGGAGAAGAGGAACACAAAAGCTTTTATTTGTTTGGTTTGTTTTTGGAATTTGCAGTTGTCTATTTTGTTAAGTCTCCCCACTAAGCTAGAATCATGAGGTCCTGGAGTGTCAGGCCTGGGTTTTGTCCTGAAATCTCCAGCAAGCCTGGTACAGGGTCTGTTGAACAAAAACCAGCCTTTCCCTATGTCCAGCTCTTGAGCTTTCCAAGCTTTGCAGAACCCTGAACAGCCACACACAGCAAAGAATGAAGACAAAAAGCACCACAGAAGTAGGTATGACCACTAAGGTTTTCAAAGAAAACACCTCTAAAACAGGCACGTCATTAATTTTTGTTTGTTTTGGACAGGGTCTCACTTTGTAGCCCAGGCTGGCCCAGAACTTACAGCAATTCTCCTGTCTCCATTTCCTGAGTGTTACGATTACAGGTGTTAAGTCACTATACCTGGCTCTTCAGTAAGTTGTAAACAAGATGAGAGTATAGATCAGCAATGCTAGTAATTAAAAAGGGAGGACGCGGTGGTGGGGAGATGCCAAAGAGCAGGAGGAAACTGCACACAATAAAGTGAAAGTTGAGGCAGGACAGGTGAATTTCCTGGAATTTACCAAACCTTTCACAGTATCACCTCGCAGCCCCCCACAACAGTTCTGCTTTCTGAGGGACAGAGAGAGGTGGAAGAGGATGCTCAGCATAGGACCTTGACAAATTGCCCCGCTTTGTCTCCTGGGTCCTGGCCACACCTACAGCATGGGACTGTCACACTCTTGTGTGTCTAGCCATTGCCTTGGGTCCACTAGGTGGATGGCTAACCTTATTTACTTCTCCACTTGAAATGCCATAAGGGGCTTCACTTTTATTTTTACTTCAAAAGCAGCATCATAAAAACCCTTGCTGATTGGAGCCCCAGCTGTCTTGTTTGTCAAGAGACTGGTTACTCAAGTCTCCTATGGAGGAAACAGTTTCAGGCAGGAAGCCATGGGAGCTGAGAAGCCCACGTCTCATCTCTGAAAACTTTCAGACTCCCTCCTGTTCACCGCCTGGTCTGCCCTCTGCTTCCCCTCCCCCAGCCCCACCATCTGCTCTCCAGAGAACAGATCAAATTTTCGGGCTAAGGTACTTTGGCGCCAAGGACTCAGCCCCTGTGTGCTTCTCCCTGCCCCCCCATCAACTCAGAAATCCAATACCACGACCCAAATGGACTACAGCCACATAAAACCATAAAGTTTATAAAGCTTTATTAAACATTTCAAACAGCTGTGCAACGAACATACCAGAAATAAAAGCTCTAGAACAGCAGTCCAAGTGTTTCACAAGTGTGGCCTCAAAGTCCCATTCTCTAGATGTCTGCTTCCAGTTCTGTCCTGTGCCCAGCCCACCACCTTCCCTTCTCAGGCAAGAAAGAGGGGCGTTTCCGACTAGAAGGACAATCATGCTGATCCCCAGTGGGCAGGAGTCAGGACCAAGTCTCATTGCCAACACTTGTTGTGGGAACGGGGAAAAAAATAAAGAGCAAGTAGCAAGTCACCAAGTCTTCCCATGTATTCTTCAGAGTGTACAGTCTATGTGCACAGGAATGAAGAAGCTCCTGGCGGGAGGACAATGGCCACTGCTCCCCTGGGTCTTGTCTGAATCACCTTGGAGTCCACTGTGCTAGTCACTGCAATCCCCATGCTAAATAAAAATTGCAGCAAGACCTACTACAGCTAGCTACTACTACTAAATCTCAAAATCAGAACACATTCGGTAAAGCTTCTCCAAAAGGAATATACACATGTATTGGTGTACACACACACACACACACACACACACACACACACACACACACGGCACATCAAAAAATACCCGAACACCTATCAAGGGGATCATGGCTGCTATGAAACACACAGTACTTTCCCATTCACTCAGCTAGGGACCTCTGGGTCTACATGAACACACCACATCTCCCTCCTGCAGAGCATGCATAGGAGACATGAAGATATCTCCTCAGGATGGCTGAGAGAGGCAGGAGGAAAGAAGGGCAAAGGGAGAGAGGCTGGGCTAGAATGCATGAGCCCAGACACCCAGGTCAAAGAGCAACATCTCTCTGTTGCTTCTTTTTTAAAAATGAGGCAGAGGAAATACTGGAGGTTTGTGGGAGACAGTTGAGACGTGATTCCATCTCACCTGCTGAACAGGGAAGGAAGGATGAAAAGCGAGGCTCTCGGGCATCAGCAATCTCTTCAAATTGGAGATAAGTGCAAAAACAAGCCCTGTCTTGGACAGGTACTCCCCCCAGAAGGAAAGGGATGGGGGAGAATTACAGGGAACTCAGGAGAGGGGCTGATGAGGGAAGGAGGGAGATCCTGACGAGGAGGGGTCATGGAGGTGACAACGAGACTGGCATTTTATCTGCCCAGGTCACACGAGGCAGTTGACCAGGATGAATGTAGACTCTCTGCAGTGATGAGGCAAGGGGGTGGGCCAACCTGTCAGCCGGGACCCAGATGTTGACAGAACACACAACCACAAGACCACCCACGACTACAGGACTCTACAATAAAAGCACCGGTCAGTGCCATCATTCACATTATAAGGATGAAACATCACAGGCCAAAAAGGCGCCGTCAGGAATGTGGCACCCGCAGGCCGCGGGATTTGAAACTCCAATGCTTTATGACCTATGTCAATGTCTCCCTCCCGTCTTCTGCTTCCTTGGAAAGCTAACTCAGCAGCCATTAGGTGCCCACAACACCAGGGTCATGGGCTGATTCTGGAAGTGGGGAATCGGAGCAGTGGTACAGGAAACAGTTTCCCCAGCAGCTATAGCAGATGAGGAAGAGGGCTGCCAGGAAAACCAAGGCACATATTGTGCAAGGCTTCCGTTCCAGGAGGAAGCTGAGCAGGTAGAAGCCCATGAACATGGAGTGGCTGAACCACAGGGCGGGGTTGAGGGGCTTGGGGATGAGGAGGACGGGCAGCAGCCACTGGAGGCAATACATGATCTCTGCCGGGCAGGGCCTTCACCAAGGCTGCCACGCACCGCTGCAGGAACCGACCTAATGGGAGCCAGCAGGCACAGGTGGCTGCCCTCTGCTTTCTTCGACCCTCTCTCCAGGAGCTGAGCCGCTGTGCTCTCTGGCTGTCAGCCCGGGATCACCAAGGCAGCAGGGATCCTGAAGAGAAAAGTCAACACAACAGACAAAGAACAGACAGACAGACAGACAAAACAAACAAACAAAAAAACAGGAACAAAATGTATACTTATTTGGGAAAATGGATCATGATTTACATCAACAGCAAACGTGAATGCCCTTTCCTCCCTACCCACCCATGAAGGCCTACTCTTATCCAAGAAATCAGCTCAGACAGCCTCTTGGGGTATCCCCCTCTGGGCTTCTACTGGGGGCTCCCAGGAGGGAACGGTCCGCAGTGGACTGGCTTTGCCTGGGTCCTGCCCAGCAGAGATCATGTATCGCCTCCTGGGGCTGTAGCCCGTCCTCAAAGGGCCCAGACCTCACAATACCGCCCTGTGGTTGCCACAGGACACCATGGGCTTGGTGCTGTGCCCCCATGTGGTAAGGAAGGACTCTTAACTAGGCTTTCAGATATGCAGCTGCTGTGCGCCACAAGAGTGTGTCAAGTGAAAGCAGTTACCTGTGCACTGCTAACCTGGAGATGGGAGGCAACAGATCCTCAGATGCTGGCAAGCTCTGAGAAAGCACAATTAAAGTGCCATCAGATATTTTATTTTGTTTTATGAAGGCAGCCTGGGCCAAGCTTGCTTTTTTCAAATAGCCTGTAATTTTGCTCAAGCTAGCCAACTTCTTCCAAAGTCAATTGGGGGGGGGGGGTTGCTACTTTCTCCAAACAGAACTCCTTGAATCACTGTACCTCTATACCTCCTTCTGCTACTGGCAATGTATAGAACCTTGACCTCTACGAGCTTTTAATTAGAATATCCTGTCCACAGAGGGACAAATACCAGTTGGTCTCTGTGCCGGGTAGTTTGCTGTAAAGAGGTGCTTTCCAGGGCCACTGGGATGGTGGGACTGGGCCCTACTTGCAGACCACGATTTAGTCTTCCTGCCTGCAAAGCCCATACTCCACAAAGGACCCCCCCCCCCGCCCCGCCACCATTGCTCTGAGACCCACAAAACTCGCGCTCTACTAGGGATCTGCAAGATCACGTTCTGGGAGGGACTAGCTTCACTATGAAACTGGGCAATGGTAGCCGTAACCTTGGAAGTTGTAGTAAAATCCTACTCTACGCTCCAGCCGCCAGGCGCAACGGGTACAAAGAACCACGCCGGCTCGGGCAGACCTACCAGGGCTTGGGGGAGGGGAGCACAAGACCAAGATTTCTATCATCTGTCCCGTAGAAAACGATCCCCAAAACACATTCCGAACACTGCTTGGTAGAGCGTAAGCCTTTCATGCACACAAAGGGCGCCAATCCGTCCTGCATCCCTCCGTCCTGCATCCCTCCCGGAGTGCTTTGGCGCACGGGTCCAGCTCCAAATCGCAGCCACTAGCGCCCGCGCGCGCGCGCGGCAGCTCCCAATTTCCTAACTACGATAAGAAGCAGGACGCGAAAAATCAGGGAAGAGGAACGCGATCAGGGACCCTCACAAAGCAGATGGCATGGGCGTAAAACTCACTGGTTATTAGCAGTGCTGAGCAGGGACCCGTGGCAAGGCTCCTGAAAGGAGTACTTTTTGCTCTGCGGGTTAGATAGACCTCCCTAACTTCGGGTTTCCATCCTGGTGTAGGTCCGTTTTGGCGTGGCACCGACGCGGGGCTCCAATTTGCAGACCAAGGTGTGCCTCACCAAGAGGCTTACACCCCTACCCTCACTCTAAACTCTAAGAGTTGTGATTCCCCTTCATTTTACACCAAATTTCAATTGTGGGCATGGCGGAATCTTCTGGAAGGGGGCTACAATGGGACTCAGGAGGTGGGGGTCGGTGCGGAAAGAGCAGATGGATTTTTTTCTTTCCTGGCGAATGAGAAGCGCCCCCCGCCACCCCCCTCATTAACACCCCCCAAGCACGCATGCGCACTCAGGTGGCCTGAGGGTACTTAAGGCACAGCCACCCCGGTTGCGGCAGTGCGCCCAACAGCGGACTCAGAGACCAGTGGACCTCAGCGAACCCTCGCTCTCAACCACTCACTCTCGGAACCATGGCGGCAGTGGCAGCAGCCTCGGCGGAACTGCTCATCATCGGCTGGTACATCTTTCGCGTGCTGCTGCAGGTGAGCACACTGGGGCTTTGGGTGGGAGAGGGTCCCCGAAGTGCGCCCCGGGAACCCTTAACCCGCGTCCCAATTGCCGCCTCCCCGACCCATCCTATCCCGATTGCCGCGATCCCTGCCTACCCAAGTGCCGCAGTGGTACCATTCGTCCCCGCCCGTTCCCCGTGCCCACATCCTCGCGCAGACCCTGTCCCCAAGGCGCCCGCGCCAGGCCGGGAACAAAGACTCAGGGGTGCGGCGGTCGCCCGCTGCGGACGATCCCGACCAACGCGGTAAGACGAACCCGCTATACCCAGACTCGAGCCCAGGAGGGAGGCGGGGCGCCTGGTTGTGAGTTTTAAGCTCGCCCACCAAAAGAATTTTTACCTTAAAAATTGCGCATTGCGGGAATTTTTATTTAAAAACACACATATATACACACACAACACTTGTGGAATGGGATAAAAAAGAAGTTAGAAAAAGGCACTTATCAGAAAAAAAAAACTTTATAAAAAGAACCTTACAACAAATTAGAGACAAAGTAATTAAAGGGGAGAAAATAGAGAAAACGCGCATTGCAGGAAAATAAACCAGACAAAAGCACTTGGTAAAAAAAAAATTGCATTAAAGCGCACTGCAAAAAATTAGACAAAGGAACAACAACAATAAAAAAAAAACTGAATTGGACAAAAACACTTTGAATAAAACAATGAGAGGAAAAAGCCCTTCACAAGAAAAATGGAAGGGGAAAGGCGCTTCCAAAAAAGGAGAAATCACTTTATGGGGAAAAAAGGCGGCAAAAGTGCTTTTCCTAAAGATAAATCGGAAGAAGGCGCTTTGTCCACAAAACCATCTTTCCCAAGAGCTCCCTTTGCAGGAAGCGTTCCCTGCTAAAGGGTTCCTTTGCCAAAGGAATCGCATATTTCCTTCAAGGTGTTCCTGGAATGCTGCATTTACTGGGTAGGATTCGCTTTTCGAAATCCTCCAGGGACACAGCCCATTGCGAGAAGTGAGGTATACCTAAGTTGTGGGTCCAATCAGCTTGCCGCCATGCAGCTCTCAGCACAGTTGGACAAGCTCCAGCTGCCCTGACTCGTGGACAAGCTGTGCCCGGCCCGCCTCTCCCGCTATGCTGGACCGGCGGGCGGGGCCAGGGGCGGGGCGGGGGAGGGCAAGGAAGCACGGCAGGCGACCTAGTCACCGCACCCTGCTAAGGGTGGGTCCTGGGTCTCTCATCGCAGGTGTTCAGGTACTCCCTGCAGAAGCTGGCGTACACGGTGTCCCAGACCGGGCGGCAGGTGCTGGGGGAGCGCAGGCAGCGAGCCCCCAACTGAGGGCCGAGCTCCCAGCCCTGGGCGGCCGTGTCATCAGATGCTCCTGTGCATCTCGGCCAGCACAGGAGCCAGTGCCGCGCAGGAATGGGGGGTCCCCTGTGCTCCCTCGTCAGAGGAGCACTTGCCAAGGTCAGTGAGGGGCCAGTAGGCCCCCGGAGAAGCAGCACCGACAATGATGAAGACACAGATCCCTTCCCAACCCCCTCTGCACCGGTCCCACTGCCGGCGGGTGGGAGAGGAGGGGGAAGAGGGGAGCAAATCCTCGAGATCTGGGTGTAGGCACCGCATTCTGATCTAGTCCAAGTTGAACAGCACCACCGCAGCCTGCAAGTCACAGCCAAGCCAGGAGGCCACACCAGAGATGGAAACATCCCACCGGTCAGCAGAATGGACATTCTGACACCACCAGCTGAAGCCCTTAATCTCGGAGCAGCAGAGAAGAGTCAACTGCGTGCTGCGGCAGGACAGGAGGGCAGGACAGGAGGGCGTGAGGGAGGAAGAGGGTTAAGAAGTTCAGCAGGGCCCTCTCGCACTGTCCCTTGCCCACTGCACGCGCATTTCTGCCTTGCTCCCTCATTCCCCCTTTCCCCTGCCTTCCAAGCCCCTTTCCCCAAAATGTGTCATTTGATTTGGACCTTCTCAAACAGTAAAGGAACCCCACATTTACCAAAAACGCCTTCTCCGACCCCTGGGGCCCTCATTGATCTTGCTCTCCCTGATCTCATGCAGCAGCAGTTGTGCTCAATATTGTGGTAATTGCTAACTGTACTGATTGTTTGTGTGCATTAGTTGTGTTCCCCCAGCTAGATTGTAAGCTCCTGGAGATCAGGGACTCCCTCCTCAAAAAATAAAAAAGGTACCTCCTCTGTCTCTCAGTGTCCTAGGGCTCTGCAGGGCAGTGGAGGCGCACCAAAGAGTTGTCTCTTGTGGCTTCTTTTGTGACAACCCAAGTGTCTAAGGTGGGGCTTATGAACCCATTGTGGAGTGGCACATTACTTGGGGGGGGGCAACAAAACAGGAATGAACTGGAACCCTCATATCCGGCCTCATTTCAACACTGTCCTGAGATAAAGGACTATTTCCCCTCCCCAACGAGGAACGTGGCATTCACCTGTGGGGGAATAAAGGACAATTGGCCCTCTCCAGGTTGATGGGTACCTTTACTTGGTGGTCTTGGGATAAGGGGGCATTAATTTGGGAAGTTATTAATTTGGGAAAGATGGGAGGGATTGGTCTTCAAAATGGGGTACTGAGGACCATGGGAGTTGACTTGAGAGCATAAAGCTATGCTACAGGTCTCCATCCAGAATCCCTAAGGAACTGACTGCAGGGGCGGGGGGGGGGGACGGGGACACGGACGGGACATGACACTACACAGACGACTACAGGGCTTGGAGAATGAGCATGAGACAGAAAGTATGGCAAGGTGCCTCCTCCACCCAGCTCAATGCTCCAGGCCCCAGGATCACTCCAAGGCCATCCTGTCTGGCCTTGGTGGCCCTCCACATCCCATACCACTTTTTTTCTCAGGATGGCCTCCCCATCTTAAACGTCCTTACCACATTCCTGGCCTGTACTTTCCCCTCCCATTACATCAGGCAGGATGGGCTGACTGCTCTGCTTCCCTCCTCAGTGAGCCAGGGTTCTTCTTACATGGGTCAGCTGACTGCCTCACCAAATGGTCCTGCCACCTGTTTAGTCTCCTCTCTGGCTTTATCTAACCCTGTCACTGCACACCTGTTTAAGTTAGTGAATTGCAAGGCCATCAGTCTCTCCTGACACTTCCTTAAATCCCTTAGTCACAGTTGTCACACACTCAGGCAAAGAACTTCACCCTCTTGAACTCTGATGTGTCTCTAGCCCATAAGTAAGTCTGTTTCTCAGTACCTCTGAAAACATTTAGACCTTTGTTCAGCCCAGAGAATCATGGGGGACAAGAGTACAGAACAGTCTGGTTTGGAATTTGCCATCCATCAAATGAGCCTAGGCTACTGAGTCAGCTTACTTCCTTGCCTTCACTTTTAGTTTCCTACTAAGGTTTCAGTGACCCTCATACACATCAGTGAGTCAGGACTCCTCAGGATTTGGATGGGATGTGTACTCAGGACTCCAGCTTCCTCAGGAAGGCAGCTACAGCTGCTACTAAAACATGAGTGTGGGGAGGGTCCTTTGGTTCACAGGCAGACAGCACCCATACATCCTCCCTGATTGGGAATTTCTGTTGTTTGCCACACTAAAACCACTGAGCCATGGGTACATTTCAAAATGAGTTCTCAATGAAGGCTGACTCTCCCACCCTTGGAAACGTGGAAAGGTGGGCCCACTGTTACCCCACTGCTCATACACTCTAACCTCAGCCCATGTCAGATGCCAAGTGAGGCAGGTCAAACAGCATGGAAGGGTCTGGCTACTCTGGACACTGCACAGTCTGTCCCCCAACTCCAGGGCAAGAGGCTGATGAGAAACCCTGGGCTTTCTAGATGACCATGGTAAAGTCTTTTCCCTCCACCTATCCACCAGGAGTGCTGAGTGTGGTTGAGGTGAAGACTTCCAGGGAAAGGCTGCCCTGGTGACTGTGAAATTTCACCCTCTAACCCCAAGCCCTGCTGTTCTGGTAGCAATTTAAATCCACTACAGAAGGCAGAAATAATGTGTACATATCCCACCCCTGTGTAATACCTGCAAGCCTCATCTAAACACACCTTATTTATAATACGTTTCCACAAACTATATACTCTGAAAGCATTTTATTCTCAGATAGCAATGGTAGGTCTTCTTTTATTGCGGAGCCCTTAATATACAAAGTTAAATGCCCCCTTTTCCTGAAAAGGTTGCTACCTCCACCCCACAAGGACAGTGGGGTAGGGGGGGCACCAAGAACCACAGCTTTTCAAGGTTGGGTACTAGGTGACACAGTTATCTTTATCCACAGAGTATCTGAACTGTGACTGAAGGAAGAGATGTCTGAGGGCAGGACAAGGAACAAGTTTTTTTTGAGCTTTGGCTGTGGAGCCAGTCAGTGTAGCTACACATGGGCTTTAAGAAGAGCAGGCTTTCTGTTAGCCACTTAATACCTATTTTCAAACATGGATCTCAGGAGCTAACACCCCAAAGGGAGAGTCTGAACTTACAGTTAATTTCCTCCAGGAGATTTAACAATGTGTATCCATGCACATAAACACAATACTAGTCTGTCAACAGTCTCTTTTTCTGGGTTACCACTGACTTTCTGTATGCGCCCCCCCCAGGCATGTTTGTCACCATCTTTTCTGGAAATCACCCTGCCCCCCGCAGCAGGATCCAGATTCCTGAGCATTCCCAAAGCAGAGCTGGAAGTCAAGGAGGAAGGCAACACATGGCTCTAGGTAGAGCACACTAGTGACAGGCTTGCAATGGAATGCATGTGCTTCAAAGATAGACAACAAAACGAGGATGGCCTAACCCAGATTCCTCTTTAAAACAACATGATACAGATAAGAGGTTAAATTGGTTTTGGCAGCGACGCTAAGATAACAAATTTCAGATATAAAATTGATCTGGTCCCTGGAACACAACCAAAGTTCCAGAAACAGAACCTTTTAACAGGAATGCTTGACATTAGTGAATTTCTGATTTAATCAAGTAAGCAAGCTCTAACACTTTGTATGAGCACATAAGCTGGAATTTTTTTGGTCCCGGCTTTGGTGTAGCGTCCACAGAAGGCTGACAGGCTGGTTGGACCATGTCAGGCAGGGCAGGGAAGCCGTCCCCAACACATCAGTTCCCTGAAAGGGACAAAAGACGATCCAAACCTATAAACAGAAAGGCCATTTCTTTTCTGGAACAGACCCCAGTTTCCCAGCTGAAAAGGGAGAGGAGACCTCGAAGAAAACTAAAGGAGGTTTGGAAGGAGGAAGGAAAAAAGCGACTGTCCCCATCCCCCATTCTTCCTTTCCAGGCTACAACGGGATGACAGACATTCCGTTCTTCCAGCTGCCCTTGAGGATCACTTCCCACACACCGGAGGAGAGGGAACGGGTGTCCGGTCTGGATGTAAAGTTTGAGGCAGTGAGAAGTGCCCGGGACCCGAAGCAGAGCGTCCCAGGCACCCCAGACAGCAAAAACAGGGGCTAGGGAGCCCGTTCTGCCTTCCCCACGCCCCTTCGGATGGAAAGACAGACTGAAGTGGCGGGGGCGGGGGGCAGGCCCTCAGAAGCCCAGCCCCTCGCGGGGGAACCCGGGTGGAAGAGGTGGTGGTCGCACCCCCCGCCCCAACCCGGAGCGCGCTGACCTTGGAGACCAGAGTGTCACTGGGGAGCCAGGGGACCCACCTTGGGGCCGGGAAATGACCCTCGAGGCCCAGCCCGGAGGGAAGCGGAGTCACTAGACGCCGGGCCCGGGTGCCCCTGCCCCCCGCGGAAAGGAAACCCCAGCGAAGGACCGAGCGGCGCCTAAGGTGACCCCGGAAGGCCAACATGGCGGCGCGCTCGCGCCGAGGGCCTCTCACCCCGCCCAGGCGGGCGACGCCACGGTACCTGCGAGCCCCGCCATGGCGCCGCCGCCACTGTCGCCGTCGCCGTCACTGCTGCAAGCTGGCCTCCGCCTCAGCTCGCCACCGACGCCGCAGGAGCTGGGGAGACGCCCCCTCGGTCTTCTAGGCGAGCGGCCCGAGGACCCCGATCGGGCTATCTATGGCAGACGCCTGATCAGAGTGTCCCAAGTGGGTGGCTCTTTGCCGCTCTGCCCTGAGCATCCGCCTTGGACAGTCCTTTAGATACTTCCTACGTACTTAAATAAAATTATGGGGAGCCAAGGCCTTCAAGCCCAAAGAATTTTTAGTCAGGCACAGCGTGGGCAGCCCCGAACCTCGGGCCCATGGCCCCCTCATGCATATGCAGCAGATTGTGATCCTTGCTCTGAGTGCTCTGCGGGGTAGTTGCCTAGTGGCTCTGATGAGGTCGATTCCCCTGTTGTTTGCTCACCGTGGGGTCCGTGGACTCCAGGAAAACTTTATAGTGGCTCAAAGTTTGTCCCTTTCAATCAAGGACAAAGACCGAGGCTCAGAACGTGGTTCCTTGTGGTTGATGAAATGCCTACCTCAAGGTTGTTAAGGGGTGGATGATTCAGTGTGTTCCCTATTAGCAAATTAGGCACATTCCTGAGCACTTACCGTGCGCAAGCGCAATGCTAGCGGGTAAGGAGGTAGACAGGCTCCTGACGCCAGTTTGCTCTCAGTCTAGAGGATAAGTATTGAAGGGCAGAGAAGAGACTGTCACTCAGTAATTACTACAAAATGATACAGTGGAAAGTGGGGTCATCTTTTAGGATTCTTAGACGCATTAATAAAAGAATTTAAGCATGGACTCAGACGGAAGTTTAAGGACAATTTTATTAGAGTTTAAAAGAAAAACTCTCTGGGCAGGCAAGCTGTAAATCTCAGCGTGTGCCCAGAGGAAGAGAATGGAGGATGATGAGGAGAGAAAAAACAAAACAAAAACCAACCGTGCCCCAAGCGGGTTTAAGCCGGCACGGGGGTCAGACATATGGCAGCCACAAGGCAGGGAGGGAAGTTTTAGAGAAAGAGTAAAGAAACTCAAAATGTTGGGGTGGCCCAGAGTGTTAAGGAAAGCATGCTTAGAAGGGTGATAGAAAGTAGAAAAGGAGAGAAGTTACACTTTTCAAAAGCAGGTGAACTTACGAAGACACGAGCGGTCCATAAGCTTCTGCCTTAGGGCGTAGGGATTCCAGGCAGGAAAAGTTCACTGCCTCATTAAAGCATTAATTATTCCTCCTATCTCTTTAGCACATCTTAAGGTGAACACGCCTCCGAGGGGTGGTCCCTGGGTCAGGTGATTGACCTGGCTCAGATTTTATTCTTTTGACCAGGACTTTTCTCTAACAGGCCTTTCTTGTTACTGTAACATAAATACTTTAAATCAGATCCGTACATAATTAGGCATGTGGTTATGGGAAATTAATGGGATCCTGGTGTCTGAACAGGAGTGGTGGAGGAGTCCCCTTGGCAGATTGAGTTGTGAATGAGGGGCATGTGTGCCTTTTATGAAGGTGACAGCCCTAGGGAGAGTGGGAGGTAAGCTAGGAATAGGACAATCCTTGGTTATGGATTTGAATCGTATCTTAAAAGGCATGGGGAACCCTTTGGGGGTAATGAAGAGGACTTTGGGTGTCTGCAAAGCCACTGGCTGCCTGGCTTAGAAGGCATGAAAATGAGGATGGGGGTAGGAGATCCACTAAGAGACCCTTGCAGCTTTCCATGAATAAAGTAATGATGACTCACACAGGTGGTGGCTTAGAGAACTAACAGAGCATCAGACTGGACTTGTCAGCCAGCCACTGAGGCACAGGCAGTGACACCTAAGGCTTTGGCCTTGGGTATGAAAGGGTGAAAGTCTGAGGAAAGAACAGGTTGTAGGCAGCAATCTGAAGTATGGCTTTCAGAAGTATTGGCTGAAATGCCTGGGCATCATGTAGTGGGCAGAGCTGAGAGGCAGTTTCCTGAGACTGGCACTCAGAAGGGTTGCTGGGACACTGGCAGCACACAGGTGACTCTTCATGGTGCTGGTGAGAAACAAGGGGATGGAAAGTAGATAGGAAAGTGGGCAGTGGTCATCCAGGATGGAAGCAGGAAAGGAAGCAGAGAAGCAGTAGAAGGACCCAGCTAGAGATCTTTTTGTTCCCACTCCCAAAGTTTGGTCCAGGGTTTCATACAGGAGGGAATGCTCTGTGGGGCTGGCTGTTGCTGACTCCTGTGGGAGACAAGCAACACCTTGGATTTGGAAATGAGATGGGTTTGTGGACTGTGTTCATGTTGCAAGGGTCTTTTTACGGGGGGGGGGTGTCTTTTGGAGACAGGGTCTCCCTGTGGCCCCAGCTGGCCTGGATTAGCTAGGCGTGGGGCTGAGCACTGGCAAGGTCAGGGTAATTAAGATTCTTGTACACTACTGATAGCAGAGAGAGCTGACATAACCATTTCAGAAAACTCTCAGCATCTCCTTATCCTCAACACACTCCTATGCCATGCCCCAGATTTTCTACTCTTATGGGGTTCCATGAAGACTTGTACAAGACTGTTCATAGCAGAGGAATCCCCAGCTCAGTTGGTCTAGAAACAGCCCAGTGTCCATCAACAGGAGAATATAGCTACAGCATGAGAGGTTTGAAAATGTTCTTCAAACATTTGGGAGGAAAAAAAAATGCATCTATACCAAACATGTATAAAACTTGTTCATGCCTTTATTCCCTAGAAAATATAATCTAATAACTGTACCCATAGCACATATATGGTATTAGGTCAACCAACTAGAGCTGGTGTAAAATGCATAGGTTGACGTGTAGGTTATGTGCAAATACTGCATCATTTTATATGAGAGACTTAAGCATCCTCAAATTTCAGGGTTCTGGGACCAATACCCTCCAAATTTTGAGGGACAAATGTGTTTTATGCATAAAAGAACAAATTACTGATACATGAAACACCACAGATTAATCTGATATACAGGATATGAGTTAAAAGGAGTTGAACCCGAACCAGTGTAAACCACATGATTCCATCATTTATAGTTCACAGTGATAGTAATTGAAACAATGGTCGTGGAGGTCAAGAGAGGAAGGGAGGGAGCCTAGATTTTGTTAAGGTGGGCTGTTGCATGGAGAAACACTCATCTGTCTATTCCTAAGACCAAGGAACTTTATATAGGTTATTCCTCAAGAAAAAAAAATTTTTTTAAAGCTATATGGTGCCAAACCAAGGTCAGAAAGTCTGTTTTGGAAGATCCCACCTTCTAGTACCTTCATGGCAGGTCTGAGCCATCTATTGGTAATATGCGGATCAAGGGAATTAGATATAAAGTCCAGCTACATTGGAATTGGCTCCTTCATGCCTTGACGGCTATGCTGAGTTGTAGCATCCCGAAAATTAAAAAATACCAAATGCATGACACCACAGTTATGTTGGGCATTGGCTGATTAGACATTAATCCATCGAGATGTCTTATTTAAGAGGAACGTATGGGCGATAAAGCATTCAATGGCCCTGATGTAAGAACCGGATGTCTGATAAAGTGCATTGTTAGCTACCCCCAAGTTTAATGGGCCTGGAGCGAGAAGAGAGGTACACTGGGCAAAGCTCCAGTGGTCAACTTTCTTCTCCTCCAAAAAGTTGGAGGAGAGGCAGGGCCTCTAACCCCTTGCTCGGTCAGTCCCTTTTCACCCTCAGGCTTACTCCACTTGGGGTTCCAGGGCCTCAAATGACCCAGAAGGCCTTCTGCCCTAAGATGTGACTAAGTAGACCTTGTCTTTCCAACTTGCTCCCACCCACCTGACTTCCAACCAGGATCTCTGCTTTCCTCAACCCCACAATCCCTAAGTCCTGTCCTTTCCTCTTGGTTTCCCACTTCCTTTAAACCTCTTTGTATACTCTGCCAAAGTTTAGTTCTGGTCACCCCTCCTGGGCCCACTCTAGCCTCCTCTCTGTACTGCCTCCTGTAGTCCTTGTGATGGTTGGCCTTGCCAATACAACCTAGAATCACCTGGAAATAATCTGGAAAGAATGAGAGATTTTCTAGATAAGCTGGTGTATGGGCATGTCTGTAGGGAAATTGTCTTGATTGCCGTGTTGGTTAGTTTTTGTTAACTTGACACAAACGAGACACCTGGGAAGAGGGAATCTCAGTTGAGGAATTCCTCCATTGGACTGGCCTGTAGCCAATCTACGAGACATTTTCTTGATTGATGCAGGAGGGCCCAGCCCACTGTGAGTGGTACCATCCCTGGCAGGTTGGTCTGGTCTGTATAAGGAAGGTAACTTAGTAAGCCAGAGGGAGCTAGCCCGTAAGCAGTGTTCCTCAATGGTCTCTGCTTTAGTTCCTGCCTCCAGGTTCTTGCCTTGAGTTCCTGTCTTGACTTCCTCAATGATGGGCAGTAACTTGTAAACTGAAATACCCCCACCCCCAACCCAGTTGCCTTGGGTCAGTGTTTTAGCACAGCAATAGAAAAGCAAACTAGAATAATTGTTTTAATTAATATGGGAAAACACAGTCTGAAAGCAGGCTGCCCTACTCCCTGGTTTGGGGCTCTGGACCATGTATGAGTAGAGAAAGCCAGATGAGCACTAAACTTTCATGTGTCCATTTTGCTCTGTTCATTACTGAATGTGATGTGACTAGCTGCTTGGAATTCCTGTCACCTTGATTTCCCTGCCATGATATACTGTAATGAGCCAAATTAGCCCTTTCTCCCATAAGCTGCTTTTTTTGGTCAGAGTATTTTATAACAGCAGCAGAAATGAGACTAGAACAGTTGTTCTCCACACGGTAGCCAGGCAGTCTTGTTAAGATGAGCCTGGGACTCTTCCTCTGGAAAGGGTGGCTCCCTCCTCTGTAGTCACCTGTCAAGATCCTCCCCAATCAGTCTTCAAAGCCTCAGGACCAATGGTACCTCCTCTACCAAGGCTTTACACTCAGTACATACTGCTTGATTGAATGCCCAGAGGACTTTTGTCACTACATGAGCAGAGAGGCAGAGAACAGGACAGTGTCACCTGTGGCCTGATGAGATAGGATGACATAAAGACAAGACACTCACACTTTCTGGGCCTGCTGACCCCACTAGAGCTGGAGCCTCAGGCATTGTATTGGTTTCTTTTCTGCTGCTGTGATAAAATATCACAACCAAAAGCAACTTAAGGGAGTTTATTTTGGCTTATGATTCCAGAGGGCTATCTTTTCATAATGATGGGGAAGGCGGTAGGTACAGGAATCTGAGAGACCACATCTCAACAGCACCCGAGAAGCAGAGAGCAGTTAGAAGTGGGGTGGGCCAAGAGGGGGCAGAAAGATTGTATGAGCCAGGGAGGAGGTGCATGACCCTATGGAAATGGTCCTACAGGTGCCTGGGACCCTTCTCATACAAACCTACAGCAATGGTGTCAGCATGCACAAGACCCATGCAAACTTAGGCAGACAAAAACTCAGCACAGAACTGTGGAAATGAACAGCAAGCCCCAATCATCTTTGTTGAAGAATTATTGGCAGCTGATTACTGTTGGGTGAGGAAGAGCTGATCTTCGTGAAAGGAGAGACCCTAGATAGGCT